TAAATTAATAATTATAATATATATAGTAATTATCTGAGTAATAATATACTAAATCTAGATGTATTAAACATATAATAATTATCTGTATATCCAGATCTTTTTAAATATAATATAAAGCTAATCTATTATACAGAAAATGCAAAATAAAGATCTAAACTAAAAGAGATCTAAAGAGAGATAATCCAATCAAAATTATTATATTATATCTCAGAAAAATATTAATAAATTATTTTTTTAAAAATAAAATTTTAATTTTATCTTATTTAATTAATTTATTAAATATTAAAATTTATTAAATATATATTTTAATTATATATTATTTATAAAAAATTTTTTACTAATAATAACTTTTTTAAATTATTATTTTATAAATTTTACTATATAAAATTAATTAAAATTAATATAAAATATATATAATAAATAATTTAATTAATAAATAATGAAACTTATTTTTTTAATAATTATTAATTTAATTCTTATAAAATTTATATTAAAATCTGAATATTATTTATTTATAATAATTTTTACTTTATTTTAAAAATAATAAAAACTTTAATTAGTAATTAGTAATTAAAAAAAAATAAAATATATTTTATCAAATATAATATAATATATTTTGTAATTTAAAATTCTAATCTTATAAATCAATAATATAATAATATTATTTAAAATATATTTTTAAATAATAATTTTATTTATTTTTTTAGAAGAATATTACTTAATTTATTATTAAATAAAATATAATATAATAATAATACTATAAAAATTTTAATTCAGATTATTTTTTATTTAGTATAAAAAAATTATAAAAATTAATTAAAATTTAAATAACTTTTATTAAAATAAATATTATTTTTTTTAAAATATAACTTATTTTAAATTAATATATATTAATAAAAACTTTAATAACTAACTAAAATAATAATTAAGAAAAAAAAATTTTATTAATAAATATTATAATTTTAAAAAATTAATATTTTATCTTTATAAAAAAAGTACTATACTTTAATTAAAAAGTAAAATTTATTTAATAATTATATATAATTATAGAATTTTAGAAATATATAGATTAAATTAGAATTAAATCTCTTTATATTTACTATATTACTAAATCTTTATCTTTTTATAGTTATCACATTTGAAAAAGCAAAATTAAATAACCAAAAGACATGTGACTATAGAAAGATTTTTTTAATTATAGTTAATTAGTAACTGAAAAACATAACTATAAAAAAAGATAACTATAGAGAGATATAACTATAGAAAGATCTGATTATATTTGAAAAAGTAAAATTTGAATTATTATAGAAAGATATAATTATAAAAAAATTTTAATTATATAATTAAAAAACTTAAAAAATAATAAAAAAATAATTATAGAGAAATATATAATAGAAATTTGATTATATTTATTTTTAAAGAATTTTTATATTATTTTATATATAAATCAATCTAGATAAGAATTAAAGGGAATTTTTGAATATATAATTTTTATTAACTAAAAATTATTATAAATTAAATTAGCAGAAATTATATTTTTAGTTGTATAAAAATCAAATCAAATTAATAGAATTTATTAATATAATCTATAAATAATAAACAGAAATTCAAAAGTACTTTTTATAAACAAAAATATTATTATAATTCAAATATTATATATAATTATGACTTATTTATAATAAAATTTTATACTTGATAATTAAGCTTTGAAGATTATCTAATTAGAGATCACAATTTAACAAAAATAAATATCAAACTTCTTAAAAAGCTCTTTATTTACATATTAGTATTTTTTTTGATACATTTCACATAACTTTTGATATTGTCAAACTTTAATCATTTCTTAGAAATTGGCCATTATGATTTGCAATAAAATTATGAAATTAAGGAATTTATAATTACACAATAATATTAATAAAACATAATAAAATTTTGATTTTTGTATATAGTTTATTTATTAGTAAAATTGAAAGCTGCAATATAGAGATAAATTTCTATAGTTTATTGTTTTCTTAATAAAATTTATTCCTGTTACATTCCTATATAGTAAACTCCCGCAATAATTACATTCGTAATTGTAATAACCACGCTATAGTCACATTAATTTTCTGTAAATTATATACATTATATATAAATTTTTATCAGAATAAAATAACAATATTTGAAAGTAATTATTTAAATTTTAAATTATAAAATAATGAAAAATTTAAGAAAACTATGGAGCAACAGGTACACGTGATAAAAAAAAGGGAGGCACCAACCTAGATAAATGTAAAGTATTTATGAGTTATAGTTACACCACCATTGTTTCCATTACATGGACTGGAGGTACGTGATAAATGAATCATTATACATATAAATGTTCAAGTATCGACGTGCCAATTGTGCTCTTATAGAGACGAGACGCTATTGTATTTCTAGATGGACCAATAATGAATGATAATCATATCATACCAGATTGAATTGCGTCATTTAACGTAAGATCGATATAATATTTGTGGCACCAAATAGCAATGAGATAATCTAGTCATTATTGAAGAAGTCGACTGAACATTATTTTTCAAATGGAAGAACTTACTAAACAAAATTTGACAAGAACGCACGTAATTCACGATAAGGATACGTGGATTATTGAAAAAGTTTTGGAATCTCTAATCAAACAAAGCAAGCTCTGGAAAGATGATGATTTGCTAGATGCAATGATCATGTCATTTATGGCAAATAATAATTACGAATTCGAGACTTTGTTCAAAAAAGTCGATCAACGTCAAGATAAAGAGAGATACTGGATTTTACTAGCTTATCTCTATGAACGGGGATTAGGAATCCAATCCGAAAAAACGAAAGCATTCCGGTGGTACCATAAAGCCGCAAAAATAAACGATCCGATAGCAATGCAAAAAATCGGAATTTGCTATGATGAAAGTATCGGCATCAAATATGATGCCATTAAGGCTAGGTTCTGGTATAAGAAAGCAGCGGAAGCTGGAATGCTACGATCACAATTTGAGCTAGCAAAACACTACATTTATAGAATGAACGATAGTAATAAAAGTCATCAAATCGAAGGTTTATATTGGCTTGAGAAGGTGGCTAATGCAGGCGTGGCTTGCGGAATGAATTTACTCGCCAACACATATTATATCATGAAAGATTATCAAAAAGCGTTTTATTGGTACAAGAAATCTTATTATGAGCATGGTTCAATTAGAGAGGATTTGGCAATTTGCTATCGAAAAGGATTCGGAACTTTAAAAGACACTCATAAAGCGATCAATTGTTTCTTGCAACCGATTCCAGTTAATCCTCAATATCTTTTGGATATCTTCAACAATAAATAGAGAATTGACAACTGCATGGCATGGACATATTTATTTGAGATTCAAAATAAATTAAAAATAATAATTATAGCTGTATTTAAAGATTTTACATATTCTAAAATGAGTACTCCATCAATTTAAATACATGTATGTCAATTGTATGTGATACAGCTCAAGATCATTAGAAAAAAATAAAAACTTAAATATTTTTTCTATATACATAAAAGAAATTGAGCTTTTTAACCAGTATTTATACTTATTCAAAAGAAACCTTCGCCTCTCGTTCTACAAGATTTAAGACTAGCCTGACTCCTATTTTATAGCGGGAGCTAGTTGTATTGATTTATTCTGCACCTATTTTGACATACGTAAACAAAATTGTATTTTATTTGAAATGTAAGAAACAAACTTTCTTAATATAGCCATTGTAATATCTAGTTTAAGAATGAATAAAAGATTTTTTCTTTATATTAATTACATCTTATGCAAGGTAAGTAGTACGTACCGTACGTACCCGGGTATTTTAATGGTAAAATACAGTAATATCATTTTAGAATGTATTAGTATAAATAATGTGTTAGACATAAAAATATGTGAACACGATACACCCTCTTATTGATATATTTCCACGAATTACTTTAAACTTACTTTAATCAAATGTAAGTCGAGTTCAAATTTTTCTTACCATAGTGTATAAGATCACCTTTGACCAAACTTTTCCTGTTTTAAATCTGTAGCAATTATTTTTTTTAATAGCTTTCTCGATCATAACATTTTCTATTAATTAAAGCTTTCTTGATTATGACATATAGAGAATTTTTACAATTTTATTATTATAATAGATATGCTAAACGAATTTGTGCAATAAAACTAAGCAGATTCTTGAAAGATAAACGAGCCTTGCATTCACCATCTCATCTTTTATTAAACATATTTAGGTTTTGCTATATACACAAAGAATATAAATAATTAAAACTCATTTATCAGAGTAAAATATATCTGAAATAAAGTGATCACACTATATATTTTTTTTATTTGCATTATATGGCTTAAAATGCAATTCTTTAAAAGATAAGGAAGTAAATTTCTAGATGACGAGGCATGTGAGTTCTGATAAAGATTTTATGCTAGAAGTACATTTCCTTCCGGCCGGTGATACATGGAGTTCTACTACTCATGTTCGAAATTAAACAGTTTTTTGAGCCAAGCAAAGAAAAAGATAGTTCAAACAGTCACATAAGTGACTATTATAAGTCTACACTTTGCTTCTCCTGTAACAAAACTGTCGAGTTGGTGGCCAAACTAACAAAATGAAGCCTTTACGAAGAGAATGAATTTTTACCACGATGCAGAAGAAAATAAATTACCTTCATGGTGTTTTAATGCTCAAAATAAAAGATAGTAATATAGAATGAGTTCCGAAAGTAGTATTTGACCGTTGATAACTTCCGGGCATTAGAATGATGTGTATCATCTTATGATGCTTGCGACCAGTTTTATTTTGTAACTAGCATCCAAAGTTTGTCATTACTTTCGTAATATATCTATTCTCGAATAAAATACCAAACTTTATCATCGAAGGATTCAATGAATCGTCTTCTCAACTATCTAATAGCCATGAGTTATTTATATGCATTTTGCTGCGTATAGATTAATTTAATAACCAAAAAATCATCGATACATATCCTCTTCAATTACTATTACGTACTGTAGGCATAATGAAAATATGGTGTTTATACAGTTAACCCCTTATTGCTTCAAAGTAGGAAAACTCTGTCTTAATCAACACATAAAAATTCTTACTTCAAAATAATTCTTTAGACACATGTACAAATGTAATTTCATACCGATACATTTATGTAGTTCATCGAATGATAATTGCATCAATCAAATATTCAAACGCAAATAACAGAAGATCATTCGATTCTTGCATTTTTATACACTCATCCCGATACATGACGATAATGTTATAGTTATTGTTATTTTGCACATTCTTTATCTACCGTTACTGAATAAACCAATAATGATACTATAACTGCAAAAATTGTCTATAATTGGTATCATTCTAAATCTGACCTAGCGTTAGAATTTTTCGTTATTACGTGAACATGTATTATGGTTTCACAAGGGTTTAATGAACAATACCCGATTCAGCACATGCAACTTTTTAGGGATTAGCGTTCTGCATGTGTAAACTATTAAAAAACCATAAAATGACTTGTGTGCCTATGAAACTATACGTTGTATAATATGCGCTGTGCGTATTTTTTGTATTTCGTATAATAATCGGCTTTTCAATATATATATAGATTCTCAAAAATATTTAATATACAAAACAACACATTCTTTTTTTTCTTAAACAATACAATACACCGATTCACGTCCCTTTTGGAGCACACACATATTTCGAAAAAGAAACCAAATAGTTATAGAATAAATAGTCTCCGGAAGTCTCAGATAAAACTCATCAACACGTTCCGCACTCTCCAATTTCTTTAGCATATATTCACACACATCAAACGCAAATACAAAGACTAACGCACACATGCGTATGAAGCGAGAACGAATAATAATAGATTTGTTTTGGACGTTTTCTGCGGTTGCAACTGTTATTGGTGGATTTGGCGCTAATTATGTTAATGGACAGTCGTTAACATCGAGTTCATTAGGAGAATGGAAATATGTTGGCAGGTAGGTTTAGCTAATTATTTACTGTTATTATTTACGTAAAAATTTCGACGTATTAAAATTACAGATTCTTGAAAATATAGAACAGGTGCCTCAGCAATGCATATGGTGGTGACCTCACCAAATCGAATAGTAATTCTTGATAAAGGTAATTCTTTCCTTTATTATACCATATCATAACAATATCTCCGAACTAACCAACTATCTCAACACAAAATAACCAGCCGAGTACAATCCGGAAGCACGATATCCTGATGGTAGAACCGGATGGACCACAGAATACAATCTAGACACAAACGAATTCAGGATGCTGAACCTGGAAACGAATACCTTTTGTTCGGCCGGTGCGTTTTTGGCAAACGGAACGCTGGTCGAGACGGCGGGTGGCCAGAAAAATATTAGAGCGAAAGATGGATATTCAAAAATTCGGTTGTTTTCACCGTGTTCGGATGATTCGTGTGATTGGTTAGAGTTGGAACATAATATGGATGCTGCTCGATGGTATAATACAATGATCTCGTGAGTAGATTGCTTAAAACACATTTAAACCAGTTTTTCGTCAGCTTAATTCATTCATTCTTGATAATTTTAAGATTGCCAGATGGTCGAGTTTTTAATTTTGGTGGAAGTACTAAAGCTGCAGCCGCTAACGATGTAAAAATAAATAATCCTACTTATGAGTTTTATCCAGAAGCTGGACAAAAACCTTTTCAATTTCTTATTGACACGTAAGTTTAGGATTGTTTTTCTTCCTTCAATTCAATACAGAATGGGTCAATTCACAATTCCTTTAAACCAAAATTCTACATGTGTGTACAGTCTCCCTTTCAACCTATATCCAGTAGCGCACGTACTCCCCGATCGCAACAACACGATCTTCATATTCGCCAGCACAAAATCAATCTTATTCGACTACTCAACCGGAACCGTGATCAAAAGTTTACCCGACATCCCAGGATTCCCGAGATCATACCCGCTCACCGGATCATCGGTCATGCTTCCGCTGACATACGAGAACAATTATCGACCGGAGATTTTAATGTGTGGCGGTGGCACGAAAGCAAGACGAACCGCAAAAGCTGTGGATAGTTGTGGGAGATTGGATCTCGGGATTGATTTGGAGGGTGGAGTGCCCGAGTGGGATATGGAGGATTTTGGTGGGTTACCGAGGGTTATGCCGGATGCTATTATTTTGGCGGATGGAACTGTTCTGTTTGTTAATGGTGCTGGTCGTGGATATGCTGGATATGGTGAGTTAAATAAAAGAACATCAATGCGCTGTTAAACTAAATTTAGTAATCCGTGATTCTAAATTTATTTAATTCATAATTAGATAAAAGAGGCATACATCAAGCCGATTTGCCAGTAAAAAATCCAGTACTCTATGACCCGAATAAAGAAAAAGGTTCAAGATGGACTGTACTCGCCCCATCGGAAATTCCACGAGTGTACCATTCGGTCGCAACATTAGTTGCTGATGGGTCCGTGTTTGTCGCTGGAAGTAATCCGAATAACGATTACAATGATACAAGTGATTTCCCAACAGAGTAAGTTATAAACATTAATTTTTCTCGATTTTTACCGATCAATAATGAAATCATCAATTATATCGATATCCTTCTAGATACCGAGCTGAAAGATTCTATCCCCCATACCTGCTCACCAAAAAACCACGCCCCACAATCATATCACTAGCCGGCACCGAAATACTCGGCGCCCATCCAATCCCAATAACCTATAGCCAATTGCTTGACGTCAAGATCTCGTTCAAAGACATCCGATTCGCCGCCACGCCAGAATTCACCGCCGCAATAATACACTTTGGATTCGTGACTCATTCGCAACACATGTCACAGCGATACGTGAAACTCCGTGTATCGAATGTAAGAAAAGACATGACATCATTGTCGTCAAAGTATACGATTACCGTGGAGACACCGCCGAATTCTAATATTATTGCTCCGGGCCCGAGTTATCTTTTTGTGTTGAGTAATGGTGTGCCGGCTGAAAGGAGCGCTCATGTTTTGCTAGGAGTGAACAATTCGTCATAGTATTAATTATTCTATTTCCATTTAAGTAAACATATTATAGACTTGTAATTTAATGAGCATTCATTTATCTATAGGGAAGTGACATATAAAATCTTTCGTATAGTAGTAATTCATAAGGAGGTAATGTGCATATATGTCACTCCCTTGTCGTTATAACGATAACGTTAAATAGTAAAAATAAATAAAACCGCATTCTATAGTCTTCTTAATGTTTGTCTAATACGAGAGAAAGATCATGGCCCACTCACCAAATAGTCGTTTGCCTGTTATATTCTCGTATATCGCAGCTTTAATATTAACGGCTTTCTTACAATTTATTTCATAAGTGAGAAAATGCCTTTATTTATGCTGACCTCTAACTTTTGCGCTGGTAACTAACTATTTGCAGGGCCGGTAAGTCCCGCACTAATATTCTAGTGTGAATGAAGTCACAATGCACAAAGTCTTGTTTTTCTCAGATCTAAGATAATCTCCCATCTTTCCTTGCGATGATCCATTACATGTACTACATGTAGTGCAGCATGCACATGTGCATGTAAAATCCGAGATATACATGTACAGTACATGTAATATGCAGAAACTGCAAATACATTTAATTTAATGTTTTAAAAGGTAATTGGAAATGGACATTTTGGCGAAGTATTTAGAGCAAATTTAAACGATGACTGATAGTAGCTTTAAAAGGTATTATGTAAAGAACGAAAATTATCTGATAATCAAATATCGATAGAAAATATAATGAATCTGTGTATATAACGTTTCTCCAACGCCAAGTTAATTATCATCCAAACATTATTGATTTTATGGAATTACTAAAGGTAAATTTTATCTACGAAACTTGATATTATATAAATATATATAGATGATTTATTCATTTATTTCGTTTATGTTTATATTATAAATTAATTATTTATAAAAATACACTAATAAATATATGCGTAAATAAAAAGAAATTGAAATAACTTTTGGTTTGCCGTGATTGACAGCTTGGAACACTATTTATCTTATATGTTAATTATCAGTAATCTCAAAAAATGATTGTGCAAGAGAGCAAATGTTTAAATAAAGTATTTGATTCAATTAACAAAAGCAATAATTATTTACTAACAAAATATAAATTCAAATAACTAAAATAATTACAACTGGTCACTAACACAATTTAATATTCAATCAAATAGATAGGTCTGTTTCAAAATACTAAAAGCAAATTTTAAACAAATAACCAAATAATCAAGCAAAATCATCAACTTTTATGGCAAAAGAATTAAAACCTTTAATTTTGTTAGAGAACAAAGAAATAAAAACCGAAGCGTAATTAGGTAAGCGTTAAAAAAATTTTATTAGTCATTTTCCTTCAAAGCATACATTGCCTGTCTCACAGACCTTCTAGAATTATTCTATATATACAGTTTTCGTTATTACATAGCTATCTAAATTACAATTCGTTAATTACAGGTTTCGCGGGTCATTAGAGCACAAATAAGAATTTTAGTAGGAATTTTCACAAAAAGAAAAGGTAATGTATATTATAAAATAACATAATGGAATTTAATGTAAAATTTATATGTAAAAGAAATGAAATAATAAAAATTATTAGTACGTCACAAAAATTATGGAATTTTTGGTAGAAATCTATAACGATAAACAATAGCTTGAACATACAAGGTAAGATTTTAATAAGATATTTCTTACTTTTAGGAAGCGGCGTTAATGTTATTACTACATGTACATGTACAAATTTTTGTAAGAATTTCTGGGGTTACATTAATGTTGATACATGTATATGCATCACTAATTAATATAATTAATTTTTAACCATTGATTCTACTTATTTCATCTAGTGCTACATTTTGAGTTAGGGCGCATTACATTTTATAATGTTGTATAGTTTGTTTATGAGGACGTCAGCAATGAAATGCTTGTGATTTGTTATGATATAGATATTTTTCCACTCTATTTATTAATTTACTGTTCTTATCATGAGTTTATATATATATAAATGTAATTTACATGTATTTAGTTTACATGTTATGTTCTGAAAATACTCAACAAACATTAACATGACCCTGTTTGTTCTAAGCAGAGGTGATAAACAAAAAAAGCGCGTTAATCAACATTCAATTAACAAATTAAAATTTTTATTAACATTAAAGTAAAAACAGCTACCAATCTCTTTTGATGAATCCGAATATTGTTCTAAAGTTAAACCGTCTCTTTTTATTTTGCTTTGGTGTTTCGTCATCAATTTGTCGATTTTCTTGCAACTTCCCAGTATCTTCAATCACGTGTGCTATACTAATGTCGAAATCTGTTTTTTTAATTACCAAAGAAATTGATGAATTAAATAAATTGATAAAACAATAATATCAAATATAAAATCTACCGTCGTTCGGAACATGCAAACCAGAGTCTAAATATTTGATATCAATATTACTGTATATACTTATGGTATACATGTATTTAATAATTTTACCTTTATTTGCTTCGCTAGATATATATGAACTCACGTTAGCTGATTTGGCATCGATATCTATATCATATTCCGTGGTTACATATCCTACAAACAATTTATATAAACAAATATTTTAATTAAAAAACATGGAGTATATAGTGCTTCACCTTCATTTAGAACATACAAGCTAACACTTGTAGAAGCAATATTCTGATGCAAATTCTTAATTAATTGAAAGGTAATATTTAAAAACAAAACGTTACCTGTATCAATTGAAATTTTATTTTTTTATTAGCTTGATAGGAATAGATTATACAAACAAATATTGAAAATAACAACCTTCCTGTTCCACTTTCGGCAAAATTTTGCTCGTATAAACTGCTAAGGGATGCGTCGTGTAACTTACTTTGGAATCATAGTTGGATGCGTTTGCCCTTCTAAACCTCTCGGCGGCTTTTATTTGCCGTTTTTCCGTTCTTGTTATTTTGTTTCGATACCATTTTTTAACGATGTCGCAAATCTCTTTAGAAGTTGGTCTTTGTGAGGGGTTATAGTGCCAACAACGTACAATCAAGTCGCGGTAAAAGTCAGGTAATCCTTCCGGCAATTCTGGTCGCAATCCATCACAGATATCAAAAGCTAAATTAACATCAAAAGGACGTTTACCGAATGGCGGTTTACCGATGCACCACTCCCACATGACCATTCCCAACGCATATACATCTGATGCCATGCTGAAAGCCTCTCCTCGGAAAATCTCTGGTGCAACGAATGGCATCACACCAAATGTTTGACTTTTTTTCTTAGTGAAGTTTTGTCTGATTGCAGCACCAAAATCGCAGATTGCAGTATCCTTACTATTTAATCGAAGAATATTTCCGGGATGCAGGTCACCGTGTATAATACCTTGTGAATGAATAAACTTGAGATGAGTACAAATATCATATAGTACTTGTATGCGATCTTTCCATGTTATTACGGTGAATCGCTGTCGTAGAGAACGTCGCAGATCACCAAAGCCGACGGCAGGGAGAATTAAAAAATATTCTCCATTTGAAGGATTGTGTGTTATTCCATAGACTTTATAGTTTTGAAAACTAAATATAAATGAAAACATAGAAGGATAAATTAAACAAATAAAAAAAGGCAGAACCTATCATTTCTTACCTATCATCTTTATTAGACAAATAATAAGAAATTGTATTAAATATAAAATATTGATATCTAATAAAAAGTATAAAATAATTATAATAAATTCAAAAAATTAAATAAAATGGTCGATTTCTTACCTAAAATGCAAAAATAAAACGTCAAGTTCTTACCAGCTAAATAAAGGATAGAATAATGAATTAGTCAAATAAATTAATATCTAATAAAATTAAAATGTAAATGTAAAAATAAAATCGTTGATTTCTTACAAGCTATAGATATAGATAGAAAAATGGATTAGTTAATAAATTATTATCAAATAAATTTAAAAATGAAATATGAAAATGTAAAATAAATTCGTTGATTTCTTACTCCCTAAATAAAGGATAGAATAATGGTTAATTAAATAAATATATTTAAAATAAAAATGTAAATGAAAATCGTTGATTTCTTACTTTCTAAATAAAGGATAGAATAATGGATTAGTTAAATAAACTAATATTAAGTAAATTTAAAATGAAATGTAAAATAAAATCGTTAATTTCTTACCAGCTAAATAAAGGATAGAATAATGGATTAGTTAAATAAATTTAAAATGTAAATGTAAAATAAAATCGTTGATTTCTTACCCCCTTAAAATAAAAGATATAATAATGGATTAGTTAAATAAATTAATATTAAGTAAATTTAAAATGAAAATGTAAAATAAAATCGATTTCTTACCATCTAAATAAAGGATAGAATAATGGATTAGTTAAATAAATTTAAAATGAAAATGTAAAATAAAATCGTTGATTTCTTACTCCCTAAAATAAAAGATAGAATAATGGATTAGTTAAATAAATTAATATTAAGTAAATTTAAAATGAAATGTAAAATAAAATTGTGGTTCTTACAAACTAAATAAAGGATAGAATAATGGATTAGTTAAATAAATTAATATTAAGTAAATCTAAAATGAAATGTAAAATAGAATCGTTGGTTCTTACAATCTAAATAAAGGATAGAATAATGGATTAGTTAAATAAATTAATATTAAATAAATTTAAAATGAAAATGTAAAATGAAATCGTTGATTTCTTACTAACTAAATAAAGAATAGAATAATGGATTAATTAAATCAATATCGATATCAAATAAAATTAAACCGCAAATATAAAATAAAATTGATTTTTTACTCCCTAAATAACGGATAGAATAATGGATTAGTTAAATAAAATAAAATTAAAATATAAACGTAAATAAATTCGTTGATTTCTTACATTTTGAATCATTGCTAAACAAAAAGTTAAGATCGTTAACGTTAATAGATATTAAATTAAATAATAGTCCTAAAATAATTTTTTACCGTCTTTTTGCACATTTATTGGTTAATTTAGCCTTCATTGAGTTATTATTA